ACACACACACACACACACACACACACACACACACAAACACACACACACACACACACACACACACACACACACACACACACACACACACACACACACACACACACACACACACACACACACACACACAGACACACACACACACACACACACACACACACACACACACACACACACACACACACACACACACACACACACACACACACACAGACAAACACCGATGAAGGCGCAATTTTTGAGGCGTTCGGCTTACTTTGTGGGGTCTCGAATTACGATTGGGAACTGGTCCTCATCGTCTGAAGGATCGCTTTCGGCGTCGTCAATCTGCATCCCTTCTCTCTCGTCGTCTGCATGCCCCAGAAAGTAACACACATACACACATACACACACACACACACGCAGGTGTTCTTGAGATGGAAGCAATGGGGTGCAGAGAGGCGTGTTTTGTTGAGCACCTTGCGCGCTGCTAGCACGTGGCAGCTCCTGATGCAGAGAGTTTTGTCACAACCCCTCTTCCGCATGCAGGCGTCAGAGGAGCTCGCTGGCAACAGCAGTCCGAGGCATCGAGAGTTGGTGCTTTAATGCTGCAAAACGCGACTGACTCACCCCCAGGGGATACATCAAACTTCCCGAGATATCCGATCCGCTTGTCTAGGTCTATCTCGACGGAGAAGCGGCACTTGCTGCTCACTTCTGCCAAAGTCACGGCGTAGAGGTCTAGAAATCGCTTTCCCCTATCTCCTGGAGCTTCCTTCTTCGCCGGGTGCTCCTGCTGCTGCTTATTAGCTGCTGCTCCGTCTGCTGCTGTTGCGGCAAGTCCAGCTTCTTCGCAGAACTGGATGCGGTAGAGACGCTTCTCGCCATCGGGAGAAGATCCCCACCACTGAAGCTCGCCTTGATCCGGCAGAGGTACAACAAACTCGTCGTGGCATATCCGAATGAAGCAGAAAGGTAATTGGTCGGGGTCTGGCGCTGTCAGTGCTTCCTCCGCTGCGGAGGGATGGGCATCTTCACCGGCTTCCTCTGCTGCAGCAGCAGGAGCAGCAGCAGCAGGAGCAGCAGCAGCAGCAGGAGCAGCAGCAGCGGTTGTGTCTACGGAGGATTCAGCAGACAAGCGCCGACTGCTGCTACTGCTGCTTCGTGTTTTGCCCCTCTCTGCGCCACCTCTGCCTCCATCAACTTCCCCCCCGTTGCTGCTCCTGCTGCTGTTGCTGTTGCTGTTGTTGCTGTTGCTGCTGTACACTAGGAGATACGCCTCGGCGCAGTTTGGTTTTTCCCTTATTTCCGCCGTAGCGGGCCCTTCAGTGCTGTCTCTCCAAAAAGATCCAAGACGATCATACTCACTCAGCATGCACGGCGAGGTGCAGACCTGCATGTACACCTGGGAGCAGAGGCGGTGCACCAAGTGTCGACTGAAGGAAGCGGTGGAAGATTCGGATGGAAAGACCAGTCCGAATTCGACTTCCCTGTCTGCATGCGCACATCCACAATCGCGGAAACAGAAGAGCCGTACAGACAGACAGTGAGTGGTGCTGTGCTGGCAGGGGGAAGGTGGGCAGGGGATAGGGTGCAACAAGACGCTTTCAAGAACAGCCTTGTCGCGCTTGCTGCCTGCCTCCGTTTATGGGCTGCATTTTTCCTTCATTCTCTGCTCCCCCCACGCACCGATCTCGGATTCGATAGCCCACTGGCACATGTCTGGTTTGTGCTGTCTGAACCTCTCCACGACTTCGTATTTGAACTCCAGAGCTTCCTGCATGCCCCTCTCCCTGCTCCTGAGGAAGGGGAGCACCTCCTGAGAGACTCCGCCTTCACTCTGTGCGAGGGTTCCCACGAACAAGAATCCATCAGACAAGAGGAAAACTGCGGCTTCAGAGAGCACCTCCTCACAGTTTTCCCCCTTTACCAAGTACAGGTCGACTGAAATCGCATGCCGAGACGGATATACGCATGCGTGCATGCACAAAAGCACACATTTACACACAGACAAGCGCTGGACGGGGTGGAGGGTTTGGGATTTGATTCAAGTAGTGAACCGATGCGAAGCACCCTTCGAGGCGCAGAAGCGATGAAAGCAGAGAGAGAGAGACCGTTGGAATCATAGGGGTTGAGATGCTTGCCTTTAATATCCGCAAATGGATCAGCCTGTTTTGCCTGTTGGAGGGTCGCGCGTGACTCTCTGGACTTCCCTCGAATTAAACCCCCTAGCAAGCTCAGCATCTTGGGAGTTTAGAGCCTGGACTTTGGGGTGTACAGACACCGCAGGGACTGGTGCTAAGGGGGCCCTATTGGCGTGACCCTGTAATCGGGCTGAGGAGCCGAGCACGCTGGGAAGCAGCGGTAAAGCGTTCCGTGTTCTGCTTGCTGGTTTTGGAACGGAAAGAAAGTGATGAATGATTCCAATTTATACTACTCATGCAGTTAAACGGCCCGATTAGGCCGGTGGTGTTGCCAGGGGCTCACAGAGCGGCGGGTTGCACGGGGAGGGCACCTAGTCATGAGCAGGAAAAATATAGTGCTACACCCCCACGCAACTCAAAAAACCCCGAACACTCACTGTGCAGACTGGATGTGGAGAAAGGGAAGGAGAGAGAGAGAGACAAGCAGACTGATCTCTGCTTGAAACACTTGAAACCCTTAGCGCTCCATCTCTTGCAGGAGCAGCACGCGGGCTTACCGCTGCCGACACTCTCACGCGCATCTATGCGAGATGGAAGTTGCTTCCATGCACCCTTTTGCCGTTTGCTTGCATGCTGTCGGCAAATTCCTTTGCTACGCAACTCAAGATCTCGCCACTGGATAATTTCACCTGGACCGCCACAACCACAGCAGGCATGCGTGCCGCCACATTGAAAGACCGCTTATTCCGATGGAGAAAGAGAGACGATTCTCCCCTTTTGAGTCGCTTTACTCTGCCTGTACGTTTGCCAAACATTTTGTGGCGTATTGCGCAATGAGAGTCACACACAGCTAAGAGCTGAAGGGAAGCGCAGGGGGGTGCTGGTAGGTCACCGAACAAAAATGCCCAGAGGCTATTTAGGAAACCATGAGACCGAGGATCAAACTCCGTTTCACTTCAAGGCCAAGAGGAAGCTGATTATTGTACCGTAAGGCAGAGATACACAGGCATCCGAGGTTTTCTGATATTCAAGGGGTCTCCTCGAATCCCCAAATAGAACAGCTCCCCTGTAGGCTGTTTAAGCGCTGCCATAAAAGTGGCAAGCAAGGATGCGGGGCACTGCACTTCCCAATTAAGCCAAACGGGAATGGTGAAGGCAGAATAAAACGATATCAGGCACCTTAATGCGTCTCGCTCCTTTTCGGTGTCCTAGTCAGCAAAACCATTCTATGAAAGTCTACGTCCACTCGCAATCTAACAGAATTAGTGACTGCCAGAGGATGAAGGGGGCCATGTAGTCTGCCAAGCTACCATTAGCCTCTTCCTGCTGCATTATTTTTTTTTACTCATGCACTAGAAAGACTTGGGTAGTTCGTTGTGCTTCTCGTCTACCTTCCCTGTTGCAGACTAAGTAAGATCAACACAACACGACGCGGTGCTGTGTGCATATGTGCTGAATGCGATGTGCACTTAGCGAATGATCTGTGTGGGAAGAAAGTGCAGCTACGCGCGCCCTAGCTGTCCCCTCATGCCGAGGGACCTGATAGGCGCTGGCAGGAGGATGAACTCGTGGGAAATAAGACTCAGCAATATCCATTAGGTTTGCATTGACTCTGGAGTCCAGTGTCTCTCAATGGAGACCTTAGATGAAGCTGCAAAGCACTGCATGACTGTGTTTTGGCCAAAGGAATTCAGCCAAATTTGGTACAAATTTAAGGAAGTCAGGCGTGAGTTATCCTTTGCACAAACGATGCTGCAAAATTCTATGGGGCTACATCTTATCAACAAAACATTAGCCATAAATCTGCCCGACTTGCTACTTCTTTGACTACTTTACTCAAGAAGACGCAGTCCGTGACATTGACGAAGGTGGCTCTTGCTGAGGCAAGGACGCATCTCGGCGGCCGTGCAACTCCTCCGGCAATTGAGCTACCCCATGGAAGTAACTGCTCCTCTTTTTCAGTAGACTAAGATTTCTTCAGATCACCAAATCCTTGGGTGTTACTCTCATTGATTCACCCAGCAGAGGCATCCAGTCCGGGAACGGGAATTCTGCGCGGCGTGCTGGGGCATGCAAAGGTGGTGGTGCACTCTATTTGGTCTTTATTTGACTTTCCAGACAAACCCTGTCTCTTTACTGTGCCCACAAGCGAGCTTCGAGTTGTTCGCTGGTTTGGCGCCTCCTGTAGTACGACGTTTCCCCGAAATATAAGAGGGCGCTGGTCGCCGGTCTATTGAGAACCTTCAGCGGTTCACTATTGTGCAGCACAACCGCTCTTGTTTTTGGTGATTCACGGATTTGCCGACATTGCGCGAGTCAAGTGCATTTGACACCTGCGAATCCGCATTTACTGCCAAATCCAGCAAATGGCAAACAATGAAGCACTGAAAGATCTGGATGACCTGGATTTGTTTTTAAAAATGGCGACGCCGTCACTTATGCATGCATGCCGACTTAGCTCCGCTGCACCGGCTTGCTCAAAGCACATGATTGTGTTCCTTCAAGTCATGGTTGGATTCACACTACCGTAGTAAAGTTGTAGAGTCTTGGTCGGCGGCCCAGGATACGTTCCGTGGCAGAGGAGTGTGTATGGGCATGGCCAGATTGTCAGTAGCGGAAGGTGTGCATTTTTCCTGAAGCAGCCCTTTTGCAAAGCCTTCAAGTCCTCGAAGAATTTGAACTAATTTGACCATGATCGTTATCGTTGATCCAAAAATTCGGAAAAATGGAGCGATCCCCTAGGCCCTGACAGGTTCGATGCAGGGGATGAAATGGACATTCATGCTGAGTGTGTCGACAAAAATCCAGAAACTATTTTAGCCCTTAGCTCAGCTCTGGAAGCTCTACAGCGGCTTCAAAAGTATGCATGCATACAGAAACTTGATACTCGTTGATGCGCTGTAGTGTGCCACTATGGCCCGCCTATACGTTGACCATAATACGACCATTGTGGAGCACCGTAAGGCAGGTGGGCCCACAGAGGTCACCAGCCACACACTTTTGCAGTATTTGCAACTCTGTACTCACAAAAACGCAATTGTATCGCGTTTCGTGTTTTCGCAGGTGGATTTATAATGCAACGGCACACTCATCTACTAGCTGCTCTCCGGCACCCTCGGCGTGCACTGAGTAAACCCCTTCGCAATCTGAGCCAGAATCTGGTGGGCCAGGGTCAGCAATCACCCTTGGCAGCATGGGGATTCAGAGCAATTATGGCCTGTGCACGCAAACGTATACGCAAAACTCAAGAGAGACAAGCATGTGGTAGGCTGTGTGTTTGGAACCTCGTGGGTTAGCAGCCAGGGGAGTGTTTGGATTTGTCAGTGGAAGCACTGCTGCACTATTGTGCCTATTGAATTCTTGGCATATTTCACTTGTCTTCTCGTTTTTCACAGAGGGAGGCCCATACAGTTCAGCGATCGATTGGCAGCGAGCCATTGCCCTGCGGGCGCCGTGCTCGTTCGGTCCATCATTTGTCGTTGGCTCTCTTGTGTGTCTTTCTCCCTAATTAGTTCACTTTAGCGCCTGTGGTATACACATGCTTCAGTTCAAATTGCATTGATTTTACGTTTTTGCCCGCCGCGGAGGAAGCGATACAGCGGAGGATATTCCATTTTGCTGCACGCAGTTCGTTACGATGAACAGTTTGACAGTACGAGGGCGAGAGTTTTAAAGCATGACGAAAATGTAGAGGGCCAACGTATACTTCGGCAGGCTCTGCTACCCGAATTGTACTGAACTAAGTATTAGCAAAGATTTGACTGACTGCTTTGGCTGTACGTATATCTTCATAATTGCAGAGCAAGTAAGGTCGATACGGCCAGGCTCAATGTTGTGTGTGTGTGTATGTGTGTATGTGTGTGTGTGTGGAGGATGCTAATGTGTAACTAGCTGTGAAAAATAATAGGGCTTCCGGGGTGCAGCTACGTGCACCCTTGCTCTCCCTCTCTTTCCCTTCGGATACGTGAGGGCCGTGGTAGGGAAGAAGAAATGTGATTTGCGAAACACTCAATAACTCAATGAATTTGTAACGAGTCTCAGGTTGCATGCCGCCCCACAGAGACCTTAACAGAAACGTTATAATGATCTTGTTCAGGAGATTCAAGTTAACGCACATGCGCCACTTCTCATCCTTCCGCACCAATTCTGAACTGTATAAGCAGGCACCACTCAATTCTTGCACTTCGCATTTGCTTGTGACCAATCACCCACCGCCAACTCAATCTCTTCTTCTTGCTGTGGGGGCTTCCAGCATTGTGCAAATTATTGTTCGACGTGGGGATCAGCCTAATGCGATGCGCTAGCTAGCGGTCAGTCATGCAGCCTGTGGCAACGCATCATTCCATTGGCGCATCCGGGACTTCCTACTCGATACTTGATTACTTGCGCCGCCCCTCAGCTAAAAGCCATATCAAAATTCAAGTGCAATTTGGTTGCACAGCCAGAAAGATTGATGCATCCTCAGTAACAACCTGTTTGGCCGCCTGCATGATGAAGACTACCCTCTTCTTGTCATGGCACTTGCCGCCTCCGCTCAACATAGATTAAATGATTGCTGTTGGGGATAACAGGATGCACTCCTCCTTAGCGCTTCCGTGCATACAAGCCTCCACAGCGCGCAGCTGTGTGCACGCGCGCTATTCATTGGGTGCCCATGACAGATCAAAATGTACGTCATGCTGCATGGCTCCAGCGTACGAATCTGGAAGCATGCTAATAGGACCCAACTCCACTCTGAAGTGGGGTTTAGCTAGCACAGCCTTGACCATCATTGCGCTGTGCCCGTTGTCATCTCTGAGTTTCAAGGACTGCGCAGCCGAGTGAGCAGTTAGCTTTTATTTCTACACTGTCTCTCGGATAACAGATCCACTTCACAGCTTGTGTCAAACAAAGCCGGCATTCCTTGACTTTTTGTGTGATTGCGAAACCACTACCTTGCTTCGTGGTGGATCTCCAATTGCCGCCCTACCCTCTGCGGCTTCCTTCGGTACATCTCAGCCTATGTGGAAGCGTTTCTGTTTCCCCGATGCGCTTTCTTTGCTCACCAGGCGGCCTGGCTCAGCTGAGGCAATTCGCGTTGCTCCACTCTTTGACTTTCTC